TTGTATAAATCCAGTTTATATTAAATATAAAATTAGAATATTTATTTACTAAAATTTTTATATGTATAATGTGAAGAATATATTGATCAATCTGCCATTATTAACAAGAAAAATAAGCGCTAAATTTATCAATTTGCAGAAAGAAGATATGATAGAAATGCGGGACATCCTCTCTGCAAATATATTCTATAATTATATATAAATACATACACACGCATTACACACTCATACACACACACACACACACACACACACACACGTACGGAGGATATGTATGAGCGTATACATGGAGACATAATGGAGAAAAGGACGACAAAAAAAGAAAAGAGGATTAATTCATAATTATGTAAGACACATAATAAATTTTCAGACCGTTATATACTAGCATTCATGAAAAAGAGAAAAGAATCTCTTGCAGTATTTGAAGATTCAACGGTAATTGTTCGTTCAATATGCAATAATTTAATAGTAACATCGCTTAATTTGTAATCGACTAATTGAATTGAAGCGATACTATGTCTCATCGTGGATAGACGGACAATTACGTGAGGAGAAAAGAAAAGGAAACAACTCGAGAATAGGAAAATGCGTCGCCATTATTTCTCTGGCTCGAATGTGTCAACTCTGTAACTTGTAATAAAATAATAAAATATTAATCATGATGTGTCTCAAAATATTTAGAGAACTTTCAAGAAATATTTGAAAAGTATTTAAAAAATATTAAATCAAAAATTTCCAATAGTTACATTATTTATGACAATACAAAATTGACAATAGATACATTGACAGCATGTTTGAAATCTTTGAAAAATGCTAATAATTGAAGACTAATTTGGAGTACTGCATCATGTTGTGCATCATCATGTTATCGTAAGTAAGGCACAAAATACAGGATGTTATACAACTACCGCGTGATATAAATCTTAATGATTTTAATATAAGTTATTTAACATCAATTTTGTTTTGCAAGAGTTTTTTTTATGGAAAAATATTGACATATATTGAAAGTCTTGCATCCTCTATGCAGTTTTTGTGACGTGATGTCAATAATTGATTAATCGATCATATTGCTAAATTTGTAAAATAGTTAAAAACAATTAAAAATTATTACAAAACTAAAAATAGTTATTTGAAAAAATTACGAATGCCATTATTGCCATATTTAAAAATTATGTGTATTTGTTTTGCATTTATAAACATTTTCTTAATTTACAAGAAAAAAAGTGAAAGCTATTTATGTTTTCTATGGAAGGAAAAAAAAAAGATAAAAAATTGAAAAGAAATAAATGTGCAAAGATGATATGATTGTTGAATGATATGATGTTGAAAACAGGAAGAAGTTTGAGCCGAGAAAAATTGAGCGACGTCAAGCGACATATAAAAACAGATACACACAAACACATAGATATGATGGAAAACTAAAAGTGATCCATTATATATCTCAAATCAAATTCTTTCGGAATTGGAACAGTCAATGAAAGACTGATGGATTTGTCGGAGAAATAAAATAGGTAGTTTTACTTGTTTCAAACAATTCTTTGCGAGATTTT